CAACACCGTTCCCATGTATCCTGCATTCAAGAGTAAGTCAACCATGATTAGAACTTTCTCCAAGGGTGCAAAAATCAAACCAAATCCATGCTGATGGATCCACTGCTACATTTCACTGCTTTTCTGTATCTGCTGTCACCTTGCAGCCCATCTTCCCTGCTTCATTCTCACTTTCCTCTCTGTTTTTGTCTTTCTTTTTGTCCCTCTCTCTTAGGAATATGGGGTTACTTCCAGAGAGCACTGGTAAAGAAATATGCCACTGAGAGAAACGGGGTGAACGTACTTATCGGACCCATATTTGACTACGACTATGATGGTGTCAGGGACTCAGCAGAAAAAATAAAAGAGTAAGAATATTCAGTGTACTTCACTGTAGCATTGCTTATAAAGACAATGTCACAAATTAAAGATAAACTTGAGTCTTCTGTTTGACCTTTCTTGCAGGTATGTAAGTGGGACGATACCCATCCCCACACACTACTTTGTGGTCCTGACCAGCTGCTTAGACTTCACACAGGCTGCAGACTCGTGCAGCGGCCCACTCAACAGCGCTGCCTTCATCCTGCCTCACAGACCCAGCAACGAAGAGACCTGCAGAGTAAGGAACATCACATCTTTCAGTGTGTCGTCACATTTGAACTATTTTACCAACAGTTTCTGCACCCCTACTAAATATGCAGGTGACTGATGGCCAGGAGATTTGATTGTAAAAGAAAATGATTTGAACCATTAAATGTACACAAGGCAAAGCCTCAAAAGATAATGGAGCAAAATGATAATGGAACTGAAAAATGTGTTTGTACATGGAACACAGGAACAGTGCAACACTTTGAGAAATTTGCTTATTAGCTTTTTTTCTGAGAGTAGGATGAGAAGATTGATATCAGTCTCATGTCTGTGTCAGGTTGCGGTTAGCCTAGCTTAGCATACAGCAGACACGAAAGGGCGGAACAGCTACAGTAGGCAGGCTCTCTTTAAGTGAAAAAATATACCTACAAACACCTCTGTCTTTTTTACATACTGTATCTTGATTTTAGTTATGTGTTGAAACTTTTTCTTGACAATCAACAGTTTATGCATCAGCCCAGCACTTCTGTGCAGCATCTTCATCTCAGGGTTGGCAGATACAATCAGTGAGCACAGGTTTTGGTACATGTTTCTGTACAGGACAGAAAAACCTGGTAACCTCACTGCGAAACACCTCTGTGATGTTACACATGGTCACTGTGTATATCAGCCGGGATGTTCACCAAGAAGGAGTTCCAGTGTGTAATTCCCCTTAAACTACAAATTGTTGTTTGCTAATGCTAATGCTCCTGTGTTCCTCACTGCCTCCCTGCAGAGCTCAGAGGAGGAGTCTCGCTGGGTGGAGGACCTGATGAAGATGCACACAGCTCGGGTCAGAGACGTGGAGATCCTGACAGGCTTGGACCTGTACCGGAGAACCACCCGGAGCTACGCCGAAATCCTCTCGCTCAAGACCTACATGCACACCTACGAAAGTGAGATCTGATCCCTGCTGTCCCTGTTAACATTGTGTTACTGACCTTTTTCAACCGTGGATATATGTGGTACAAGGAAGAGATGCGATCATCTCTATTACACTGACTTACACCAGCTTTAGCTCTGGCTGGATGCTCTGCAGCATCCATGTTGTGGCCCTTTGGTTTCATCTCATTCATTTCATGCATCTGTTGAGATACTGCTTTGACACCACTGAGCTAGTAGCTGTGGTACTGTCCACTTATTCTGTTGAGCAGTAGGAACAGTTCCTCTGCTCTGTGTTACTGTTTCGTGGTCGGCACGCAAAGAAACCTCCAGATCAAGAACAACAGGACCTACATACAGTATTATTTTGCCATTTTAAATACAGTGCTTCATTTGTCTCATTTTAATATGCAGTTGTCATAAGCAAAAAACTGAATCTATACCAGTAATTTTGTATCATAATGTGTAAATATCGGACACCATTAACTGTCATCTACCATCTCAGATTTCTCATCTTTCCTTTGAATTATCTCATTACTTAGCAAAAAAGTCTTCTCTCAGCAGTATGGCCAGATCAACCTGTAAGGGGGCCTCGGGGCAAGCCTTTGCTAATAGACCCCCATTAATACACCACCCTACCTTTAACCGTGTCCTCTGTATTTTACCTGTATTTACTCTGCGCCTCCAAGTCCCTGTTGAGTTCAGTGGAGCAGTAATCCTATGCTGGAATATTATCTGGCTCCAGATTTTATATCTTGAGGTATCTGATCATGGTTTTTGATCATGATTTTTATTAAACTGACATTTTAAGTATATTTTGATGAAGACATCTCAAGACAGAGCTTTAAGAGGAAATAATGACTGATTTGACCACTTACAATACAATTACTTACATTTGGGTACTTACTGATACTACTAATATGTACTTCATAAGACCATTACAGTCTGACAGTGTCTTTTAGTGGTGCACATTTCTGACAAATCAGCTGTTCAACATTTGCTGGCAGTATTACACATTACACATCTTGATAACCAAGAAGTGAGTTGTTTTTTGTATAGCAGCCTACATAAAAACTAGATTTTCTAGAAAAAAATATCCCATATGTAAAAAATGAAATCTTGAATTGCACTACAAAACTGTCCATAGTGTCCCACACAAAACCATCACTTCAGTGTTAAGACTGGTTTGTTAAAGCAGTGCAGTGAAGGCATATTTTGCTCAGTTTCCTACACGATATTGAACCCACTCAGTTTACACATTACACTATGCTTGCACTGAACAGCTGCTCTGTGTTCAGTGATGAAGATGAAATTTCCTTTATTATCTTCAATGAAATGATAATGCAATGTTGTTGTTGTTTGCGTGTGTACAGTGTATGTATGTTGAATTCTAGATATGTTCTGTTTGTGTTTGACTCTGTGTGTGTTGTGATGTTGACTTTTTGTTCTGTGCACAATTACAGTAATGTCAATGATGATTTGTTAATGTTTTCCTTAAAACATTCACCACCTGTGAGACTGACCTATTTATGCTTTATGTACATTTCATCACAATAAACAAGTGTTTTTACTAAATAAAGTGCGGTGCATATTATTGGTCTGTAGAGACTAGAGGATATGGGCAGCAACTTGCAATGCTGGATGATGAATGGAAGTTAACATTAAAAACACTAGTTACAATACATAACAGCTTCATATTCTTCCACATACCACCGACATAATGATAAAATCTGTCCCACTACCTAGTACTGCCACCATGTGGACACTCCTAGAACCTGTTGCCAAAGTAAAGAGTAAGAAATAAATTGGGCCCAGGCAGTTTCACTGAATAAGACAGGTAAAAGTGCTTTATCTGGATAAGATAAGATAAGATATTCCTTTAGTTATCCCCCTTAGGAGAAA